ATTTCTTCCTTGCTGAAATCAATACATCTTTTTCTTGTTTTGATCGAGTGTATATATATGTATATTCTAGTAATAGTAAAATACATCTTTTCCTTGATTTGATCGAGTGTATATATATATATATATATTCTAGTATGCTATTATTCAACGCTGCACTTTCGAATATTTTTCAGAAAGGTCTTTATCTTTTGATAAGTTTATACAAATGATCGAGTTTGTTTCGTTTCGAAGTGAGAGTAGAAGATAGATAGATATATGTGTGCTTTTCGAGTATCTATCTATGCATGTATACCATCACGTATTGAACAATATATATATAAATACTAGTATACAACACTTTTATTTCTCAGATTAATATATCTATTTGATCGAGTATATATATATGTTTGTTGTGTCTATCTATACATGTATATTATTAGTTCACATTCACTTGTTCAACAATATTTTATATATACATACATTCGTAATATATATGTATATTTGAACCCATATATATATATACATATATAGTGTCATACTATACACATATATGATTGGTTCACACCACCACGATCACTTGTTCACCAATATAATTGAAATATATATATATATATATATATATATATATACTACTATCGCAATAGATCAACCTATTTTTCTCTACCAATGAATCAATGATAAATATTGCTGTAGAATGCACTGGACGTAGATGACTCGTACTTGCTGTTTCTATATTACACTCCTCCGCAAATCACATGTATTTGGCCGACGTCTTCATGCGCCGACGGCGGCGGCGTCCTGCGTCTCACGGGCGTCCACGTCATGGACCATGGCGGGGTCGTGAGTGTCGTGATGAGCTCAGCCAATCACCACCGAAAGGTGCGGGGGTTCATTCTAGAGGACACTCTCATGTGCTGCGCGCCTGCATTCCCCATCGGGTACTGCCAAGTATTTGTATCGTTTAACGACCAGCAGTACACCAAGTGCTCGTTTCGCTGTCGCCAGTCGTCGTTTCTGTACTTCCGGTCGCCCGCCATCTCTCATGTATCGCCAGTTTGCTCGCCTTCCCACGTCGGATCGACCGTTTTGATCAGCGGCATCGAGCTTATCGACACGGGAACCATCCAACTTCGGTTCACATATGCGGATGATCGCGGTACATACTATATTGAAGAGGCACACACACTAATAAAAGTCAAAACACACTCATGCAAGGTTCTTGACTGGATGAAGAATATGACGCGATGGGATTGGCTGCTGGATTCGTGCTGTGGGATTTTTGATTGGTCGATTATGTCGAATGTGCATTTTGATCCGTCGATATATATTTTTATTGTTTTGACTGAAGTATGAACATGTTCAAAACACTCGTCTACAGATATATACAACCCCCACAGATATTAAGCAAGTATCCTCCCAAGTTTCATTCCGACGTTTACGACTGCTCCTTATAGAATCCTATACAAACAACATATGTCAGTTGTTTTATGAGCAAAAAAGAACTATAAATAGTGCTGCTCGAATTCTATTTTCCTCATAATTATTTATGCCTTTCGATTTACGAAAAATCCCAAGGATTTCCAGAGATATGTTACCCACACGAGTTCAATGTTGATTCGATTGACCATTTGATTCGCCATCTGGGGTTTTGATTGGTCCATCGATTCTCATTCTGGGTTTTGATTGGTCCATCGATTGTTCGATGACAACTTACCCTATGGGGAGTACATAGATGCTCGCCAAGTGACACAGTTTGTACCTGGCAAGCTCAACCAAGATGGAGCGATCGTGTGCCAGACACCCGTGCTCAACGTCTCTCAGTCTGTGGTGTACAGTCGGCTGGATTTGAGTCTCAACGGCTGCGAATACACGAACGTGGGCCGTCCATTCTACTTCTTTTCCCAGCATAAACTCACCAAAGTCGAGCCAAGCGGGATGGCACTCGAGCTCCCGACCTCCCAGCGCCTCTATCTGAGTCCGGAGATCGTCAGCGACGGCATCCAGTTGCGCCTCCATGTACTCTATATATATATATATATACATATATATATATATATATATATATATCAAATGAGCCTAGGTATCGTACCGCTTGTCGCCGTCGGAACCAGTGACAATGTCGGTGCTGGGGCCTGTGGATGCCACGTCATGGTCTGTTTCTCGCGCTGTGATTGGTCAGGTGTAACCAATGGAATGTGTGTACATAGGACGGCCGAGTGGATTGACTGGGAGTGTCCGCCGCTGGTCGCTACAGTGTCATCGCCCGCTCAACTCGTCCACGTTCACGTTGAAATCGCATTGAATGGGCAGCATTTCTTGGATGTGCGATACCGTTCGCTAGTATTACTAGTAGTACCCAGGAACCTCATATATTCCACATGTATAGGTGGGCAACCTCTTGTCGATTTGTACTCCGTACTGCCTCCCACAAGTCCACCGTATCTGGCCCATCGCCGTGCCGTTCGAACATGCGACAGAGTTGCACCTATTTGGCCACGGCTTTGACCACAGCAGCGACATATTCGTGCGTGCCACAATCCCAGGTATGGCACTCGTAGTCGTACTAGTAGTAGTCGTACTAGTAATACTAGTTCCAACGATCATGGTATGAATTAGGCTACACGACTCAAGTCCAAGTCTCGCGAACGCTCGTGGCGACGTTTATCTCACCCGAACAGATCGTCGTGGAGTGTCCAAGTGCAGCCGACTTTTCCCCTTCCCATTCCCCTTCCCCTTCCCATTCCCCTTCCCATTCCCCTTCCCATTCCCCCACCAGACAACCTTCATCCAAGCGCCGTGCAGGCGTGGGGGGATGGAAAGTAATTCCCATATCTCTCGAAGTAGCTACGCGGCACGGCCAGTTCAGTCGGCTATCCGTCGGGTCCCAGTATTACTTTGCCCCTGTCACACATCGCATGGCTCCTCTATCTGGGTTTACCACTGGCGGCACCGTTGTAACCTTGACCATTCACGACTCGATGGTGGCCATATATTGTGCCTCGGCTCAAGCCAACCACACGATCCCGTTCATGTTTGGCAATGTATCTGTGTGCGGAAATCTCTGCGACAGCGTTATCACGTGCGTGGCGCCGCCGCTGCCGCCCGGGCACCACGCCGTGCACATGGCGTTCAATCAGCAATCATTCCAACCTGTCCAAATACACGGCCATCCCGTGTACTTTGAAGCATTTCCCCCTCCCCACGTCGCCCCCCCCGACGCCGCGCACGCGTCCGTCCAGTTTGGCCCGACCTGCGGGGGCACCCCGCTGGAAATCCAAGGTCACGGGTTCGTTGCAACGTCAGACAGTGTCACACTGGTCCAGTTTTGGTTTTCACACGAGTCAAATGTCGTCGTGCCAGGGACGGTGGTGAACGCGCACGTGGTCACATGTGTGACACCGCGCGTGGACCACGTCGGCCGCGCCGTTGTGCTCGTGTCATGCAACGGCCAGCAGTTCTCCGACGCCCCCCACCACTTGACGTTTGAGTTTCACGCGCCTACAGTTGTATCGGTCAGCGCCGCGTGCCCCCACAGCGGATCCCTTCGCGGCGGCACTGCGATACAGTTCCACGTTGTCTCAGGGCTGCCCCAAGACCTGTCACATGTTGACGCCGTCGTGAACGTGGTGGAGCGGTCGATGATCCGCACCATACCAGCCGCCTTTGACCGATCTTCGCGGACTCTGTCGTTTAGCACGCCGGCGTGGCCGTACCCGGCTCATGTGGCGTTTCACTTGTCGCTCAATCACGGCACGTTCTTCGTACCTACGTGTATGAGCTTCTTGTATTACTCGCCGCCGCCGCCGATTCGGGGCATCTGTCCGGCCGCGGGGCCTGTGGGAGGACGTACGTGGGTGGAAGTCGAGTGCCCGGGGGTGGTCGACACGGGCGAAGTCACGTTCAAGCTGACGCCGATACAAAGCAGCGACGAAGACCAGAACATCCTGCAGCCCCCCGTCGTACTCGTCGTCAAGGCCGACTTTAGAAACAACGGCACTTCTGTGGGGTTTTACACCCCACATGACCATATCATACCTTGTGGGGTACTATGTCGAGTGGAAATGAGCTTAAATGGCCTGGATTACCCTGTGATTGTGGAGGGTCCTATATCTGGTGCGTCAAACCAAGATGGGAACGTCGTGGTATTCCAGTTCTACCCGCCGCCTCGCATCGTGGCCATGTCGCCGCAATGGGGCCAAGTCGATGCCGATACCACCATCACGTTATATGGCGACCACCTTGCCGTAATACTATTAATATATATATATATATATATTTCATATATTTGTAGGACTATGGCGCACCGATCCAAGTGCAGTTTACACCATGGGGCAATCCCAACCTTGCCGTGATCGTGTCTGGCTCGGTCTTGTGTGACAGCAACAATAACAAGACCATAGAGTGCCTGCTAACCCAAGGCAGCGTAGAAGCTGGCTACTGCCGCGTCGAGCTGAGTCTGAACGGTCAGCAGTTTTCTGCGACAGAGTACCCCGACCCCCGACACGTGAGCCCCCTCCACGTCGTTTATCGGCGGCTATTGTTCCCTTTCCGGGTGTTTGTGCCACCTTTCTTCGTGGCCACAACGTTCGGGTCGGCTGGCGGCGGCTCCCGCGTTCTAATATGCGGAGGCCATAAACTAGTGAAATATGTGACACGGGGCGACGGCAAGTGCCACGTCCAGCTGACCCCCGTGCGCCTGCTGGGCCAGATGACCGCCAAACTACCCGACAAAGTCATGGTGGCGGCCCAAGTATGTCGTTAACTTCTATTGCTTTGAAATGGTTTACTCTACCCGTAATCTGGTCCTTTAGTCGATGATTTATACCTATGTTGAGTATTGAATCACACTGGAGTTGTGATTGGTTGAATATACTTGTCCTTTTCTGTAAGAGCCAATCAAATCCACTGAAGAATGGATTAGTAGCCAATAGCGTCGATTCGTGATTCGATTCGACGGGGTCTGGAAATCTGTACTACCGAACCCACTATAGTATAGTTTCATCCTTTTGAATAGATATTCGCCAAATTCAATGTATATCATCACTATCGGTTGGTTCTTTGTACTGAATACTCGTGTTGTATGTAAAACGTTGTCCGGTGGGGCTAGGTATCACACTAATTAAAGTCAAACACGAAATCGAGGAGTTGCTACTGGTTTCCTGCAATCTGATTGGCTCAATCCTTCTGTCAAGTCGTCCATACATTTATTTGGCTCATTCTCCAATTCTCCATGTATTTTTTATTAGAATATGGTCGCTAACAGTTCATTGAATATTCTATCTATTAAAGGATGGGGGCTCTATTAATTGGTATTATTTGAATGATCTATATTATAGTAGTTGTGCCTGATATTAGGACATGCTCAATGGATATTCTATAGATTGAAATATACTATTTATTTTCATTGAAAATATCTTTATATTGGTGGTTTATCTAGGTGGACGCAACTGTCGGCACAGTGTTGTGCCGGGCGCCAACCTTTCGCGCTCCGTGTGTGGTGACCGTGGAGCTCATATTTGGCGACATTCGCAAGTTCGTTTAATTTAGGCACCTTTGATCCTGACCATATATATATATAATATATATATGGCATGTCTATAGTATCGACAGCAGCTCGGTGCACCTGGCCAAGGAGAAACTCCACCTGTACGAGCCGCCCACTATCGCAGACGTTACGCCGTCCTGTGGCCCGCTCTGTGGCGGCTCTATCTTGACTCTCCAAGGTCCAATATTTATATTATTTATTTATTTAAATATGTACAATATGCATTCTATTATGAACCCTATACAATACGCATTCTATTACGGGCCTTATACAATATATAGTCTATTATACACCTCAATACAAATAAAATTTGAAAGTACAAAAACCTTGAATCGTTCCCATGTTTCTACTCTAATATCTTGTTTATCACATAGCATGAATAACAGAACCAATGAGGATGCATATATGTATGATATTTTTTTGAAATAATTATATATTCTACTATGGACCCTATATAAGTAAAACATAAGTTTGAAACAGCAATCCCTTCCATGTTTCTACTATTATATCTTTTTCTCCCCACACTCCGTAGTACATAGTAAATATATAACACTGAACCTACATATTTATATGATTTTTCTTGTAGGCATGTCTATCATAGACACGAATCAAATCCACGTGCGGTTCCAGAGTGCAGCCAATAAGCACGAGTTTTGTATCGTATCTGGCCACGTGTCCAGTACATTGCCCAATGGTACACCGAGCAAGACGCCTGTAATTCTGTGCCGATCTCCCGACATCATCCAACGTTTACTGGCCAGCCCCCAACTCCCTAGTACTCCTCCCTTCACTTCATCATCAGCAGCAGCCTCGTCGATGGTGTCGCCCCGCAAACCCGTTTCCCGCCGCCACAATAAACAGCGCCAATCCAGCCCCAGTTGTTCTTCCAGGTCTCATAGTATCGTGGACGCATCTCGACACCATCGACCAGGCTATCGGATCACTGGACACCTCCAGCCGCCATATGAGACACTGGTTGCCGACCGTTCGAGTTTTGGATGGGTCGATGGTGACCATCCATATTTAGACGTACTCGTGGACTTTAGCTTGAACGGCGGCGAACAGTTCCTCCCGCGGAGTGTGCCATATCGGTTCTATAAAACTCCCGTATCTACGGCCCAGTGGACATTTGGGCCTGTGAATATTCCACTCACCAATATGATGGATACGGGGCTGGTGACGTCTGAGACTCGGCATCGCCGCCTGGTTTTGAGCGGAGTTGGCGCGCTCTACGAGTCCAAGTGCGCGGGCGTCAAGTTCGTGGATGAGACCTCGAAAACCCACGAATTACTGGTTCCTTGCTCGGTCCAAGCTGGTATGAATGGATGGATGATGCTGTCGACTGTCAGAAATCGAGATATTGTCCAAAATATATACTATTAATATTATTTTTATTTATTTTTCGAGGAAATATGTGGAAAAATGTATGACAATGAGATGTTGAGCTTGTACAACATATATGGTTGGGCATTATATTTGGCGAGGATAGATATTCTTAGTTCTCATACTATATTTTTTTCCATGTTTTCATGTATCGATTTTGTACTCGCGAGTCCATATATTGAACCATATATATGACTATGTTGATCATCGTACATACATATTATAGGCAATAAAATCGTATGCGAGTTGCCGTCGTTCCCCGTGGAAGGCAAATATCTCGTGTATTTCGGTTTAAATTCGCTCGAATTTGAGCAATTGCCTGGATATATTCAAGTTCACCCGCCGCTGCAAATGCTAAGTTGGTCCCCCCAGCAGTTTCCATATCAAGGCGGTCACTACATGCACCTTACGTTCGCAGCGTCAGCTATCATCAGACATCAGTTGCTCCAGAACGTCAACCATCTCCGCCTATTTCGCCGGTACTCGTCCATTTTGCCGACACTTTCTCAGCCACAGACTCCTTCCAAGACCGCCGACGAGCCCCCTATATGGCGACCTCGGCGTATACATCGCATTGAATTGGTTATTCCCCAAGGTAATATTCCCAAGGGATCGCTGGTGCATGTGACACTGCGACATGCGACGACGGGGTGGATTATAACTCAGGTACGTACAGTAGAAATGTGTATATATACCTGAAATATTACTTGGATTTTTGTGCTGCATTTGATTCGCCAAATCGATCAATATCGATTCTTCTGTTGTATGGGTCCGTAAAATGCAGATATATAACTTTCATATAATTTTGAAAAATGGGCATATCTACTTTATTATTTTCGAATTCTATAAAGTCCTAAAGATAGAGAATATTCCTGGTGAACAAACACTCGATATGATATTAAGGACTTATGCTCTTAAGCAAGGCTTAGAGTCCTGGTAACCGATTTAGACGCAGATCCTCTATAAGTTGGAGTGACAATTTAAGCGCATATTTTAACCTTCCCTTTTGTAAGGATCACTCTGGCTGCCACAACAAAATCTATTTTTGCAACTTTTCAGAAATATTTTGACAATAATTTTTCAAATCACAACTTTTGCGCGTTTGGCTACCAAATCTGCCATATATAAATTGACATAATACTTCGAAATTGTACTGTTTTCTGATAGAAAAAGGTTTCAACTGCAACAGTCATTCTATCAAGAGTTGTGATTCGATCATGGCAGAGGTCACATGCAAATATTTGAAAATATTATCTCACCTCCCATTTGGAAAGAGAATTCAAATATATTATATTCTGACAGAATATAATATATTTCACTTCCATTTTTCTGTGGCATCCAGACTCGGCCTAAGTAAGTGTGAATAGAAATTCAGAAATTCACTGTATGATTGGTGCATATTCAAATTACGATCTACGATTTTACGTCAACAAGTTGTCCTGTGGTTGGAATCACACTAATTTATGTATAAATATAGGACAAATTCGATGTTGATGCTGGTTTCCTGCAATCGGATTGGCTATATCCTTCTGTACATTCTTTGTCGATTCTTCTTTCTCCATATCTTCTTCAGTATATTTAGACTGTAAATACTACACTACTGTATAGTTAATCGTTAATAGTTGATATTATTTTATTTATATATGAATCTATATTTATGGTTATTACCAGGTGCAATTCGAAGCAGACGTCGGAATGTGTGACGTGGATGCGACCGACTGGGACGACGGCCAATTGGTGGAGCTCTCAGCCCACGTCAACCCATCGTTCAACACGTTTCGAGTGCGTTTCACAGATATCAAATGTCCCACCGTTGTCATTCTCGTCAAGTTACCGTCAAATCCGTCCACGTATATCGCAGTGGGCGAGCCTTTTGACGTTGTAAACTCGTCTGGTGTGGTCATTTGGAGTGCTAATCCGAGCCAAATCTGCCACGAGATGGAAATACCCAGCGAAGCTAATACCCAGCAGTATTACTATTATATTCGGGCTGCTACAAGGTCACGTTCGAGTGAGTTGTCGGGGGTGGTCTTATTGCTAAGCCACAACCAAACTATTATCCATACCAACCTACCCCTCGCACAACAACTCACCACCGGAATGTATATTATCGGGGCACTGCAATTCCAACCCCATAAAGTCTACATTGAGCTCGGTCTATGGGTCCCATCAACAACAGCAACAGGCCCCAGTACGTTCTTTCCAGTAGTTTTATACTTAAGCAGGCTAAAATTTCGCCTTATATTGTAGATGATGCAATGCCAAGTATACCCCCCATAACGTCCCTCGCCGCCCTACCCGATGCCTACAGACGCGACTTTACCGTACAAGACAATGGTATACCTGAACACGACTGGCTTGTCCTTGAATCCACTGACCCGACTACATTGAACCTCACGGTGTGCTTTAAATCGGGAACTCAAATCGCAACCGTGGCTCCACTCGAGCACCTTGGAACGGCCGATCAAAATCACTGTACGGTACAGTGCGTGGTGCCGACGTCGTTTACGTCAGCTGGACCGGTCACGGCTTGGCTGGCACTTAACGGCATCTGCTTCTCCGACCAAATCACGTTAACTTCGTATGATCCGAGCCAATGGACGCTCGACACGATCGAACCTGCTTGCGGACTGCACGGTAAAGTGTTTAACATATTGTGTAAACCCCCCACAATTAATTTTTGCTATTGTGCGTTCTACTCAAAACCCCCACCATCGCCGGACCTTCGAAATATGATATATATATATCATATTTCGCAGGTCCGGCGATGGATATATATATATATGTGAGTGTAGTTGAAGAGGACTATTCGTGTGAGCGAATCCTATTGAAACCATTCCTTCTTTTTATCCAATCAAACTGCTCTGATGGCTTCGGTGATTTCAACCAAACTGACCAATACTCATACTAGTAGTATAATATTACTACTAGTATTACTATATCTGATCCACCAACTACAACTTGAACACCACTGTGACACTGTGAACCCCCCCTTTTCCATTCGAATCAATCATTCTCTATAAAACCCTCATATATAATTCGACTAATTACACATAAATAATAGGCAAATCGACACCGGTGAAGCTGCGGGGGCGTGGGTTTATCGAGACTGGTGCAATTCAAGTGCGATTTGGCACGCCGACCCATGTGATGCATGTGCCAGGACACATTCGTGTGCGACAGTGTTTTCATGTGACAGTGGTGGGGCTGGCGGTCACGGGGCGGACGTACATGGAAGCCAATCATGTCATGTTCAGTTTACTGGTGCAGTACAACGACCACGAGCCATCTGCGACAGGGTGTCGGCGGATGCTGCACCATTTGAAAAAAGATATGGGCACGTTACTATGGAACGAATCACTGCAGTTTGAAGTGCTCGGGCCAGCAATTGAGCTCACGCTGACCCTTCGTACAGCGATATGCGACGCGGGGGAGGACGACCGCGCCAAGCCCAAATCCACATGTAATATAACCTATAGTTATTTCTATTTGCTCCTATGTTTTCAAGCTTATTCACTTGGGTTGGTATTCTTTTTGGTAAAGGAATGTATGCATTTTGCTGAATTGGGAGTATAGGTAATATTTTGTATTCCTATTCAATTGCTCAAATGTGGTGATCGATCTTCTTGCCCCAATTCCAAGTATAATATATAGATAGCCCTACAGTGTATGGGCTGTTCGATGGTGTCTGACAACTAACTACCACCCATCCCCTGCTAGTCAAAACCATCGCGACGGGCAAATGGAGCGTGCCTGAGCTGCAGCCAGGCTCGACCTGTCGCCACGTGGTTAGCCTAGACAGCATCGACCGGTCTACGACTAAACGAACGGTCGAATTAGCTGTGACACTGGGCGACCCGGTACTCGATACGCAAACAATTGAGGCGAATACCCCCATACTGCCCCACGCTAGCTCTCTGAGTGTGCAAATTTCGAGTGGCCAGTACCAGGGAGTTCCGGGAGCCCAATTTCACGTGTATGAGTTGCCCTACATTACCCAGCTTAAGCCGACGTTTCTTGCGTACACGAGTGGCGGCACTGTGAGCATCCGGGGCTTAGGGTTCTTCGATTCGGGTAATATTTCACTCAAAGCGGTCTTGTTGTCGGCAGCGTTTGACTTTGAGCACGGCCAAGACGGTATGTTTGTCCTATATATATATATTATATATACATTATATATATATATTATATACATTATATATATACATTATATATATAGGGGTGTTTTGTGGGTGATATGAAACTACGACTTGAGAGTAGGACGTTTTGGATGGCAAAAATACGTGTTTATTTGAAAATATGTGTATATATTTATTATTATTTATAGTTGTAAAATAGAAATTCATACATGGACTTCTTAGTACATAGTATTAAATAGTTTTAGAAAACAATATTGATAGTTGTAAACAAGCCATTCTCGTTAAATGTTGAGATAAAGAAGGATATTACTGGGCATAAGACCTTCAACTCAATATAATAATACCCCCGTTGCTATAAACTAAATCTATACTATACATATATGCATAATATTATGATCGTATGCTATGGTAGACGCTACGGTGCAGGCCAAGTTGGACACGTTGGTGGTATGCTTTGGGTGGTTGTAAATTTTGTATGGTGACGTCGCTTGGTTTGTGCTGCACCTAGGTGCAACAAGACAATATGGTGGAGCTACCTGTGGTATTTATAAGTGCATCTGAGCTACGGTGCGACCTCCCGCCCCAGCTCCCGTCGAGAAATGTAGTGCTTTGTATCAGCTTCGACAGATATACGTACACTACCCTCACATCAGCCGCCATATTGCACACCTATGATATGACCGACGTCGTGCCCAATACTGGGCCCATTCAAGGTATATATTTATATATATAATATTATTATATAATGAGGATCAATACTTTGAATACACCGTTTGAAAAATAAGCCATATTAAATGCTCTTGAGTGTCGAATACACATATTGAATACGAGTTAGTATATTGACATCCTGTACGAATGTTTGTTTGCGTCGGCTGTCGACACTGTGTTTATAGAGTTTGAGTATAAAACTCTGTGTTAAATTGGACTTTCGAGTAGACTTGACAAATGTACTTGAGAATGTCCTAGCCAATCAAAGTGCACTAATGATATAAATTTCAAATCATATATTCTCGAATCAGCTGCCAAGTCCAAATTGGAGCGAAATGGACAATATATATAATTGGATACTGTTTGAAGAACTGTTCTATTCCATCGACTTTTCCCTTATACATTGTTTTAGCCAGACATGTAATACACTAATTTAACTGTAAAGGGCACTCGTTCCTGACCCTCCACGGCACAAACCTGTCGCTGTGTCAGGATGTGACACCGTTAATTCGATTCTCAATGTTTCGCAACCAGAAACTCATCGAGCGCGTCTTCGTTAATGGCGAATTACACGCCGGCGTCTTGCACTGCTACACTCCAGCGTGTCGACTGGGCTTGGATAAGCTCCACGTGACGGTATATTTATCAAATTAAACGGAAAAAAGGAGCTAAATTCAATACCATTTGACGGTAAAACGTAGCTGGATGTGTCGTTGGGAGGGCCAGAAGCGACGTATTCGAGTGACAATATACCGTTTATGTACTACAAAGTGCCAGTTTTGCGCAGTTTGAGCCCGACACTGCACCTTGTGCCGGGCGCCACGGATGTGATGGTGCACACTGTCGAAAGCTGGGAAAATTCATCGCACCAGCTGAATCTAGCCGATCGAACGTGCCGGTTCCGGATGAAAGGTACTATCTATCTACCCCGAAATCCCTAGTAGTACTAGTTCCAGGTACTACTACTATTGTCCATTTCCTAGGCCAAGCCCAAGTAACCCACACAGTCGACGTTGGCAGTGGCATCCTTCGATGTCGCTTGCCTCGGTTTACAGTACGTACGGCGTTGTTGCCGGTCTCATAGTTTTATATATATTATATATATAATAGTTATATCTATATAGATATATGAATGTTTTTTATTCCAAATAATGTATTTTTTGGGAAAGGTATAAAATAGTTATATATGTAATATATAGTTGGTCTCATACTTTTATATATATTATATATAATAGTTATATCTAAATAGATATATTAATGTTTTTTATACCAAATAATGTGTTTTTTTTTATAGGTATAAAATAGTTTTATATATATAATCGTTATATTTATATATTATATAGAATCGTTATATATATGTATTATATAGAATCGTTATATATATTATATGTAGTGGAATGTTGTTGAATCCCGTATAATACATTTTTATAGGAGGGGCATATCACACTTTTATATATATATTGTATTGTTTGATCCCATATATATGAAATCCTATTGTAGGTTCCAGTAGCAACACCCCAACTCCTTCCAGGAACAGTCAAGGACGACCCACTGGTGCCCAAACTATGGGTTCGCAACAGCGGTCTATTTGTGACAGTTCTCGGTGCTCGTAATTTGAAGTTGCTGAGCAACGGCAGTAATACCCACTCGGCGCTGTGTCCTGTGGTGCTATTAAGCTTGGAAGGCCAGCATTTGCGCAGCGCCGCCAAGGAAGTTAGCAGTCACCCCGTGTTTAACCAGCAATTTGACTTTGATTTATGCGGGGACGAAGGCCACACCCACGGCGACTTGGTGGATATATCTCAATATTATATTGTTAACTCTCATATTATTGGCCTTACATTTGCAGGTATTAACAGTCGAGCACGAAGTCAAGTCATTACGCAACGAAGTGCTGGGCAACGTCATATTTCCCCTTGCAGATGTTCACCACACAGTGCTACTGCGGGCGTGGTTCCCCCTCCAGCCGCCGGCAACCGAAACTCTGTCGCAGATACGGACCACCCGCCATCTGGACATGGCCGAAAAAAGTACTACTCCCCCAGCCAATTCTTCGGCAAATATATTTCCTCGGGGGGAAATTGAGCTATTTATTCACTTTGAACCGATGGTACTTAAGCGGGAGACCACCGTACGAGAGTCAGCTTTACGGGGAAAGCTGCGCTCGGTGATGAAAAAGACTATAGACGCCGAAGCAATTGCCAAGTATGTACTAGTAGTACTACTACTAGTACTCATGTGGTGCATGATGTGTAGGCGGGTGCTCGTGAAACCCACATCGCCCGACGAGTACGACTAACTAGTAGTAGTTACTAGTTGGATGTACTAAATGCTGCATGGTACTACTAGGAGAAAACGCTCCATATTGACCAAAACGCCGACGATTTCAAAGCTATATGACCAAGAGCCATACGTTATTCCCAATGAAATCGTCGTCGACGTGGCGTTGAACGGCCAAGACTATTTGTCGCAGTGTCCTATCTCGTATACATCCAAATATATATATATATATATATATTTATATATTTTGATAGATATTTCATCCAGCCATTGCCAGTGATTGAAAGCATCGCGCCCAAGTGTATTCCATCGCGAGGAGGAAGTCGGCTCACCATTCACGGCTACAACTTTGTCGACACCAAGTGCATTCGCATTGCATTTCTCTGGGTATGGTAATATGTATAATACCTCGAATAAAAATAATTATATATATACTACATCTATATCTTGCAATGCGTTTCTCTGGTAATATATACTAATACCTCAAGTAATAATAATTATATAAAATACCTGAATCATATATTTATCTATAGTTTTCTTTTAGGGCGTGGAGCATTATGCCGCGTTGAAGCAGTCGTTTCGTATTGAAACCGATGTATTTGCGTCGGTATGTCTAAACCACTATATATATATATATATATATATATATATATACATTATTCACCCCCCGAGGCTATTTGTATGTGTAACGTAGGTGCCAGTAACCGTCGTGGAGGCCAAATTTGAGTCGCCGACTATGCTGTACTGCGTGACTCCACCTACGAAACCCATGCCCAAGCCCTGTTTTTCGCTGCTGGTTGCTTTGAATGGCTTGGATTTCAACAGCATTTTCCTGCCTCCGCTGCACGAAGGAGCGCCCAGTTCAGTTTTATGGAGCCCAGACTTATGGAACTCGTACCAAATCAAGGAAATAACTGCAGATCTGCCCATGCTCGAGTGCAAGGTATACGAGGCGCCAGTGGTGCATTCAGTCCAATCTGCCAACGCCATATACACGACCAAGCTGGTGTTTCGGGGCGAGAATTTTGGCTCAGCTGACGCGCCCAAAGCTTTATTTGTGCATGTGCCAGCGAAAGATCAAGTGAAAATGGAGGATGCTGTCATGACGTTGTCTATCGTGTCATCCATGCAGATGGAGTGCTGGTCACCTGATTTTCCACCAGGTAAATATATATATATATATATATAAATGTGTGTGTGTCGACTCGTATGAATATATATATATTATTTGGACTCGTGGAATGATTTATATATATATAATATATATATAGGCTCGATGGTGCAGGTTTGCATTGCAATGAACGGACACGATTTTAACTAGATATTTATATATAGATGTGTGTTGTCGACTCGTATGAATATATATATATTATTTGGACTCGTGGAATGATTTATTATATATATATAAATATATATTTAGGTTCGATGGTGCTGATTCGCATTGCGATGAACGGACACGACTTTATCGAGATGCCGGGAACGCTTCGGATTTGCAATGCCCCAAAAATCACAAGTCTCGAGCCGTCCTGGGTGTTTGCTGCTGGGTGCCCGCCTCTTCGCATCGTCGGGTCCAATTTTGTCGAAACGGGCAACATCATGGTACATGAAATAAGCTTTAAAACATGGCAGAAAACCATATCTTAGGACCATTTTTCAGACATAGTAGGACCATTTTCCAGAAATATTAGCACAAGTTTTCAAAAATGGTAGCACCACTTTTCGGAAATATTTGGACTCCTTTTTGATTTTTCAGAAATATTTTAACCACTTGTCAGAAATATTTGGACATTTATTCAGAAATATTGCGACTATTTTTAGGAACGACGAGCTTGTGCGTGTGTGGCTACCAAAACAATATCTGTCATATAAATATATATATATGGGCATAATACGTCAATATTGGTATTTGTCGAATAAAATATAATTTCAACTCCACTTTATACCACCATGATATATTCCAGGAATACATCCATTCTCCTTGCATCTTGGCATTATCATGAACCGATCTATGTCATGACCTAACTATTTACTAATTTCTATTCAAATCTCAATGAATTCTCTGTATCAAATCAACATTAAAAATATTTATTATATTTATTTAGAATGAAACATGCATTTTTTTCTGTAGCATCCACACATGGCCTATTTAAACTCACCAAATTAACTCACCAAATTAACTGAAATAGGTGTCATTTACACCCGACATAGCGTCGACCACGAGCCCGATTATCCTCGTGAGAGGGTGGTACAAGGACGGAGCTATTCACTGCAGCGTCCCCACCGTCCCCACTACTGACGACACACCTTGTTCTGGCTTTAGCGTGGACGTGTCTATCGGCACAAACAGCGTCACAGAGGTACTCTGTCGCAGAAAACTACAGATTCACAGATTCCTACAGTACACGGGGCACGCCCACCGTCTGCAGCTGTACCACCACGCCCCAGTGTGCACTCAAATTAGTCCAGCGGACGGTCCGATCTGGGGCGGCACCACCCTCACATTGCGCGGCCGGCACTTTATAGACACCAATACATTAACTGTGCGTTTTACCCTGCTCCAGTTTACGGCTTCCAAGTGGCAGATGGTTCCAGAGGACTTTATAGTTCAAGCGACCTTCGATTCTGCGGACCTCTTGACATGTGTGTCGCCTCTGATGCCTGCAGAAGGGTATGAAGATCGATATTCTATATATCTATATATATATATATATTTCATAATCAGAGATTTGATGTCCAGAATCCCATTTTAAAAAAACTAAAAATTGTTTGGTAGCCCCGTGGCCATCCAAGTGAGCATCAATGGCCACGATTTCAGCGACGTAACCGACACGACGTGGTAATGAAATATATATATATATATATATAGGGACGAGATCAACGGGGGTATACAAACATTAGGTTTGTGACGTGGCGGACGTGGCAGACGCGCATCTGTATCATCAAACAGAGCATGCATCACGACGGTGGCGCCCGGCTGGCGTGGCAAAAATATTTTGAGCTAAAACATGTGCCTAAATTAAACTTTTACGGCGGACGAGTGAAAACAACCAGTTTGAAAATCCAAGAGACCCACCACCCCCCAGTCAAACCCACTCCTCCGAAACGGTTCGATATATATATATATATATATATTGTTAGCCAGAATGATATATATACGTATCATATATTCGGGGCCAGAATGATATATATATATCGTTTTTTACTACCATCATTCGTATATGTAAAGGACACACTAAAAGTCTTTGCATGACAGTTCAAGTCCCCTCCGTCTCGAGCCTTTTTTTTAAATTTATAACGAGAGAGTGTGGGATTTGAACTATATTATTAATTGTACATTTGCCTTCGATTATAATATTTCATATGTCCAACCCCATAAGCAAATGATAATTCTCAGTTTTGTTCGATTGAATCTAGTTTATCCTTGTTTTACACACATGGCATATATATATAATTCTTGGCCATCATGGTATATATATATATATATAACCTTTGGACCCCCTTTAGGTTGGACAACTTGCCAGAACTTGTACGCGACTTTGCCGCCAAGCCGCCGACCTCCACGGACTTCGACGACGAATCAGACGCCAATCCCGAGTCGGAGCTATATATTCCGCCCAATATTGTATGGCCACAAGATGCGCTTCACAATTCAAAGTACGACGATCTACAAACTACGAAAATCCTCATCGAAACTGTTTCGATATATTATGTCCATTTACCCAAAATGTCGACTTATACAGATTCGCCAAATCGATCGATATTGTCCTTTTACCCAAAATTATTTGGCTGACTTTTGCGCCAAATCTATCGATCGATCTTTGTACTGGATTTTGTATGTAAAATAGTGTCCTGTGGTGATTGGTATCACACTAATTGAAGTCACACACACTAATTCGACGTTGATCACGGTTGTTTCCTGCAGTATCTGATTGGCTAAATATATCCTTTTGCCGATGATTCTTGTGTACTTTTATATTTGGTTGTATCAGTTCATTATTCACCATATCGCTCCAGTTTAGAATATTTTGTATGTAAAACATGTTGTCCTGCTTGAAATCACACTAATTCATGTCATACACACATGAAAATCCGAGGTTGCCTTCATAACAACCTAATATGCTAATTCCTTTATATTCCCCAAGTCTCTCCACTTTAGTATATCACCTTTTACGCAACTTGTTGATGTACATTGTTAGACCTTGTATTGGACTCGTGGCCCGTCTACGGCAGCTATACCAAGCGCCATCCACCCAAGTAGAGATTTACTCTCGACTCATCTCTATGTTTGACAACGCTGCCCTTCTCAATGCCAAGTACACCACCCATACACCCATAAACAGCCCTTCGCCTCCCGACTCGATGCATCGCCGCGTGTCCTTCCCGCCGCTCCGACGGCCCGCCGCCGCCTCCATTGACCTCAGCAAGCTGCAGCGCCAACGCCTCGGGTTGTGTTGCCTTGGGCTGGCCGAAGGTATCCGGTGGATTTTTCCGGATGCGACCCAAGCCGACGTGGTCGAGTTGTGGGTATTTTTAGGTAACTACTGTAGTTATTTTCGTTTTTACCCAAGTTTTGACCCAAGTTTTGGCTGGCTTTTTTATGCTGAGTTTGGCCAAATTAACTAGCGATCGATATCGATTCATCGTACTGAATATGTTGTATGTACAAAGGTGTCGTCCTGTGTTTAGGATTCGTATCACACTAATTGAAGTCACACACGAAAATATTTGACGTTGAATATAGTTTCCTGCAATGTGATTGGCTCAATCGTTTTGCCGATTGATTCGTGTGTACATTTATTAAATTGTGTCGATGTTTCATTCATTTTGGACGCTCCAGTATAGACTAAACACAAGAATATATATATATATATAATCAGTTTCAAAGCACTTATAAGGCGAACAAACGTCGGGGTGGTGTGTGTGTATACATAGATCCAGATAAAACTGGCGCCGTAAGCTTGGACACTGTGTGCAGTCGGCTACAGGCCGACCCCCGGCCGCCCAGTCCAGAGCCCGGACCAGGTCACTACAACCCCCAACCGGAGCATAATCATCACATTCCGACCTTCAATATGATCGAAGCGGCAACTTCCCCTCGGTCAGAGACCCCCCCCTGTACGTTTCCCCAGCGTAATAATGAATATATATATATAAATAAACATCGTGATATATTGTAGATCCGTTTATGGACGTGGGGCTGGCTCGAGATGCGCTGCACCCAACCTCCCCCCGCCATACATTTGCCCATCGCGACAATATCAAAGCCCAGTGGTGTGATCCACTGTACAAGGGCCCAGGATCTGAACTCGCCAAGCCCAACCTTCATCTTGACTTGAACGTTCTATCCACCACTCGTCGTACCCCCGATACCAAATTCCCCCAGCTCATAACCGACGATGCCAAGCAAACTACAGATGACGGCAAAGCCAAGATGGCGTCCTCCCGCAGACCAACTAGTACCGCGGTGAAGTTTTCGAAGCTGCGCAAAGGCAAGATGAATGCCGCCCAGCTCAAGCGAAGATCGACCAATGTATTTGGCAAACCTACCGATACACTGCGTAAAGTATCGCGCGTGGTGGGGTTTGTAGCGCGGAAGAACGCCGCGCAGACGTCCGTGGCCATCTCCAAGCAATATAAAGATGTGAAACCAGTCTACCTAGACATCCTACGGCCCCTCGATGATGCGTAGTACATGTTGTCGTGACTAATGTAGAGTATAATGTTCAGTTCTATGGTGAGCAGACCAAGGGTTGGTGTCAGGAAATCACATCTCGTTGTCAGGAAAGCATATATTTATATTAAGTACGAGAGATAATTCGAAGCGGTTTGAAAAATAGCTTAGCGTAGGGTGAACGTCTGGTATAATAAAAAAATAAAAAAAACTATATTCCATTACTAGTATCTGGCAAATGGGATAAACAAAAAAAGGCGATTTTTAACATGGAGGTAAAAGACTCATTTTGTATTATGGCGGTTTGGACCTCCTCAAGGAGTAAATCCCACTTGGAATTAGTATTGGATTTGGGTTAAAACTCACTTCAAGCAAGATATATTTAATTCTTATCAGATTTATTGAATTCAGCTACATAATGTCCTTTTGAGCTAGAATATTGTTAGGGTGCGTCTCGTAATATTTCAAAAATAGTATTCCATTTTCTGGTTAAATGGAATAAACCAAATATGCTATTTTTAAAATGGAGACAAAACGTCCACTTTGTAAGATGGCATTTTGGACAACTTCAACGCGTAAATCCCACGTGGAATTTTTGGATTTGGGTTAAAACTCATCAAGCAAAACATGTTGCAATACTTATCAGATTTATTGAATTTGACGCCAAAATGGCGTTTTGGGCCGAATTCGTAATATTTCAGGTGACCAGACGGGCCCTTACAAGATTGAAATGATGTGGTTTGGTGGATTCGGTGTCGAATCACGAAGCGACGCTATTGGCACTAAATCTATATTAAGTGGATCTGATTGGCACTTACAGAATGGACATGTATATATTCAGCCAATCAGAAATTCCAGCGCGATTCAATATTGACTGTGAATAGAAAACCATGCAGTTTTGGCGAATTCACAATTTTCTAAAAAGAGTAATATTTTGAATACATTTAATGGTAACTTCATATTGTGGCACTCCGGAGTACTCCACTTATCAAGTTACATACCGGTGTATTAATAACGATAATCAGAGTTCGTGGTCGTATAAGTGAAATATGCTCCCGTAGATTGAACTTTACTACCTACCATCATCGTCAGCATAGCTTAGCTCATGCTGTGGAGTACTAGGACCAACGTCAAATACATGGGCATCTCATCCATGCAATGGATGGTGTGGGTACATCCGATGATCCGATTCTCGGTACTAAATTGCAGATTGTGCTATTACTTTTGCTTCTTCTTCTTGTTTCGGGTGGGGGACATCTTGGCATTGCTTAGTTGCATAGCAAGTGTCTTCGCTGCTTTCCTTTGCAATTCCGCCGTGGACACGGGCACGAGGCTGTCGTCCTCGTCGCCGCTGTTGTTGTCTGGGTCACCACTGTTGGCATCATGCGAAGTCAGCAACGGCGGCGCCTGGTTCAAGTTGAAATTCAGGTGCAGCCCGTTGGCGCGGTTCGGGTCGCTGGGCTGAAGGTGGGCCCCCAAGGATGTCGTGGCCAGGTTTTGCGGGTGTTTGTGCTGCAGCCGCCGTGTAAACTGCTCCACCAAGTCGTTGCTGCGTTGCTCGATGATCTATCTCTCGAGTGGCTTAGCAAGGTAGGACGACTAGAGAATGCAATCGTACCGCCAAAAACTGCAAGATGTTGCCTTCCGTGATCCCGTGGGCAGCTAACAGGTCGTTCATGGAGCTCATTCGAATCATCATCGCATTTCGGTCGTCGTTGGCTTTCCCAACGCCCGTCGGCGCCACCGGCCCGCCCGACGGCTACAAAAGCATCGCAAAAATCCATAAAAATATAATATCTTTACAATGGTACAACTATATATACCGGCATCATCTCGTTGCACCCGAGCGAGTTGTACAGTTTGTCCACGGCGCGCGCAACTGGGCCAAACTCCCGCTGCGCCGTTTGCCGCAGCCGCTCGTAATCGGCATTTTCCTTGAGAATTCTACCAATTTCGAGTGAATTTGGATCGTTTTTTCGACTTTTTGGTACTTTTGGCGCGTGTCTTCCAAGCTTTCAATCAGCCGTTTGCGCATGTTTGCACTCCCTTCCTTGAGTTCGTCGGAATACCTACACCAATATGACTTTCGGGGTTTCGGGGTTTCGGGGTGATACTTTTGGCGCTCATGTTGCAATGATATCGTTTGGTCTTCCAGCTGTTCGCACTCGTTGTTGATGTTCTGGGTTTGTATTGCATTAAAAGTAGTGAATAATATAATGAAAAATTGACGCAAAACTCGCACTTGAACGTAGCGAAACAAGGCAAAGTTTTCCTCCTCTTTTTTCGTGTACAAGTCCACGAGCTTGTGGTGGTCGTCCGACCCCACGAGTTTCTACCACGAAAGCGATAAATATATATATATATATATATACAGTAGTACCATGATGCTTTTGAATGTGGATTCGTGTACTTTAAGCCGTTCGCTGACGCTTTCAATCGCAGCCTTGTCGTCTCGAAGCTACCAATATATCAAGTCACGTTTTTCCATCTAACATTCGCAAAGGTACCGCCACGTCAAGCTTTTGCAGCGTTTGTTTCATTTCCGACTCTTCGTCGATGCGAAAGTTCCCGCGAAAGTACCCGTCTTCGTGCGTGTCCAGCGCCTCCGACTTCATCGCTTCCTTCCGGAACGCCTCTACGTTGACAAGGAGGTTTGGGGTTTAGGGGTTCCGGGGGTTCGGGGTTCTACGTACCTGCGTTTTCCTTTTCCCGGGTAATCACAATCGCCAAGTTTTGGTAAATTTCATCGAACGCGTCTTGTTCTTCCAAGTTCATGTTGGACAAACTTTGCGCCTGCGCCACCACCTATTCAAATCCTCAGAGTTATGGCCACTAGTATTACTAATAGTTTACTAGTATAGTATATGGATCTATAGTGTACTTTATCCCGTTCAGCCATGATCGCTGTCGAGTGCTTGAACGTGTCTTGCATTTGCCGCTGAATTTCTCGCAACTTTTTTTGATTCTATGGACAAGATAACCCCGTTGAGACTCAGATTTGATTTTGATAGATATCATATATATATGCAGCACCTTTTCAAACACAGACTGGCTAAACAGTCGACTCGCGCGAAGGGCGTCAATTTTCTTCTTCAATTCCGTATTGGTGGCCACCAATTTGCACTCGCTAAACCACCAGAATCAAGTTATCACACAACTATCCATCCGCTTTGTTACCGTACCGCGTTCGACATGACGCCAGGCGGTTCTCTAGCTTGCCAACTTCGCGGCTTTCACTCATGATCTTGGACTTGACGGCGTTGATGCCGCCGCCCCGCTGGTCGCCTTCGTTGCGCTTGAGGCGCAATTCCGCCAGCTTTTCCCGCACTGTTTTCCATTCCTCGTCAATGGTTTTGATGCGCAGGTTCACGCTGCTGATGAGGCGCGCGTACTTGTCGGCTTGCACCTGGAGGTTGAAAATGTAGTCGTTCTGCGCGCGAATCGCCTGTTGGCTGCTCATGCTTTCCCTCAACTCAAGTGCATAGTCGGAGTGAAACCGTCAAAGCGAAACCGTTCTGACTTCAAACAGCCTAAGTACATGTTCAATCACGTTATTAGACCTTACTAGTATATAATATAACGTTATGTCGAACAAGTTGCCCTAGGACAAGTATTTCAACTCTAATTGTACAACCCAGTGACTGGATATATACACAGCTTATGTGGACAACACTTGTTTCCGTACTTTGCTACAAGAATACAGGGTAGTTCGTTTCCTTTTATCCTTAACTCGACGTCAGTATAAATAACTGAAACGGACAGCCACAGCATAGTATTAATAGACAGACTGCCCTTTCGTGGGAATTCATTCGACCTCGAACACCTCAGACCATCATCATGTCTGGCATTCCCAATCACTCGAACCGCATCGTGCCGCGTACGCACGGGCTCAAAGAAACCGGCTCATGCTTTGACACGACCGAAGTGCCGCCGCCTCGGGTAAGACGATCTTCCCCCCATTTATATTCCTTCCTGGTTAATCGTCGCCCCCCTTGTTATAGCGAAAACACCACGACGAGTCGGCCCAAGACCCGGATCTGGTCCGGGCGTTCTCCTTGTCCAAGCCCATCCGCAAGGAAACTACTGACCAATTCCTGCGCAAAGGCACAGGGTATGGGGGGCTCGCCGACTCGGAGCGCACCCACAAGCGCGACGAACTCGTGCCAATCAGCCCCCGCAAGGAAAAGCATCAGCCGGGGGCCTTCAAGGAGCGCTACAACCCCCCCGACACGTCCTTTCGCAAGTTTTACGAACGGGGGGACCTCCCGATTCAGATCGACCACGGCGGCGTCAAGAACCTCGTGGCGTGGAAGGTCAACATCACCAAGTTGGACTTTCACCATTACTTGCCTATATTTTTCGACGGACTCCGCGAAATCGAAGAACCGTACGCGTTCTTGTCCGAGCAGGTGGGATTGTGTGTGTTTTTCCCAACATGGACAAGTATTTTTGGTATATATCTTTTGGTCGAGTAGGGTATCAAGGACATGATGGTCAACGCCAGCTCCAAAGTACTGCCTGTGATCCCGCAGCTCATCATCCCCATCAAAAGTACGGTTGGTTTTCGGATTCAAAACAATTTGTTTTTCATATCGATGGGTTAGATGCACTCAATACCCGACGGGGGGGCATCATTGTCAAGACCTTGCACATTTTGCAGCTTATGGTCACGTGCGACAAGAAGCCGGGCGCCGATGGTCTCAACGCGCCTGGCCTGATCGGACAAGCGCTGGTGCCGTACTATCGCCAGATTCTGCCCATTTTGAACATTTTTATTCGCAAGAACGGTACAACTAGTCACGTACTAACTATATGGAAAAGTTGACGTATTATAGACAATTTGGGCGACGGAATCGATTATGCGCAGCGAAAGCAAGAAAATCTGGGTGACCTCATCCAGCAAACCCTCGAAACGTTCGAGTCGAACGGCGGTGACGATGCCTTCATTAACATCAAGTACCTCGTGCCCACGTACCAAAGCGTGTGCGTCGGATGAGACGCATTGGACAGGACCGGTCTCGCCTTGCATCATATTTCAATGAATAAATCGCCATTTTAAATAGTCTACAAATGTGCATACCCACTGCGTCACGAACGCAATTACAGCTGTAACAATACTATTAATAGCATATTATTACAACAGTATAACCAACGCCAGATATTGGGAATTCGCAGTAACCTTCTAAAATTCGCTTGGTTTGTCTAATCAATATTGAATCACACTGGAGTTCTGATTGGTTGAATATACTTGTCCTTTCTGTAAGAGCCAATCAAATCCATTAAGAAATGTATTAGCCAATAGCGTCGATTCGTGATTCGATTTGGCGGCGAGATTCGATTCGACGGGGTCTGGAAATTTGTACATCGACGTTGATCATTCCAGCGCCCACGTCTTGTTCACAACGCTCTACGTCATACTAATAGTAATAAAAGAAGCAATTTAGAATTATCTTTTTAATTTATTTCTCGATGCACAGAAAATTTTATGTCAAATAATATTCTGACAGAGAATTCCCTTTTCAAGTGGAGGTGAGAAAATATTTTCAAAATATTTTGATGTGACCTCTGGATGCCATGATGGAATGAGAACTACTGATAGTATATCATGTTGGTAAAAATTGGAAATTGGACAGTTGCAGTTGAAACCTTTTTCTGTCTGAAAGCAGAAGAAATGCCACATAGTGTGTCCACATATATATATTATATATACATAAGTTACATCAATGTTTGTCATAATTTATGATAAACAATGTTAACCATCGAGAAAGTACATTACTTTGTCGTTGAATTGCTCAGCAACGGCTTGTCTGGGCGTGATACGTTTAATATGAAAACTGAAGAGATGGCTGCGGGCTATATAACGAGACGTGATGTGTGGCGATTACACTTATTTAGCATGCGTGAAGTGACCTCAAACATGCCAAAATTGAAATATGGCTTACTTTGGGTGTGATTACATCCCGCAATAAGCATCACAACGCCGCCCATGCCTCTTTATTACGTAGTATCAATGCTGATGTTCTTGCGTTGATCGGTGATCTCTGAGCCACACATTAAAGACGCATTTTGGCGATAACTTCAAATGTAGCATGAAAGTTGACAAACAATTATTGTCATCTTGAGCTATAATTTATAGCATACTGTACATTAGACCTCTTACTCATAGGTGAGATGTATGACAGTCTACTAATGAATTGATAAGCTTCTCCACATACAGTACTGTACTGGTAAAACAATTCTACTTTGCCCGAAAACGTAGTCTTCGACGAGAAGCATGGGACTTTTACGTGGACATCAACTTTTTTCCGAAAGACAATTGATGTCCTTGAAGGGTATTTTACCTCAAATAATCCTGAATACACCTAATTCATGTACTTTTTAAGGCAATTGCGTTCGTTTATAACGTATAACGTTACGCAAATACCCGCCAACTTCCGTTATTTATCCAGCACTATTTGTTATAAAATTCCTAAGCCAAGTACATTGTCCTAAATGGTCCAAATTCCGAATTACACGATAAAACTACCGTACTGTTTCCGTCTTCATTGTCAGAGCCAAGTTCGTTTTTGCTTCCAGTAAAAGTATTCTCCGAAGCTAAAACCAACCTCACCTTTCGCTTTGACATGTACGCCTTCCTAGCAGCTCTCTTAGTCTTGATGATCTTTGCTCCGATTGCGTTGAGTCGATTGATGTACTGGGCATTGGCATCACCATCTTCTGCACGCAGGGGATGGAGACGGATATGGACGTTGGTCAGGGCCAAACACGCTTGGAACACGATGTCGTAGCTCTTGCGGCTCCAACGGTACGTATTGCTACATGTGGCCCAGAGTGTCTTCAACCGACCAAAGTAGTTCCCAACGATAACGCGATCGCTGGCAATACGGTCATTCTTCGCTTGCTCGGCAAATGTGAGTATGCCACCTACCGGCTTCTTCAATGGCAGCACCGCCCGGAGGTTGTACTCAATAGCTTGGTAGCCTTTGCCAGCTAGAACGGCCCATTGCTCTATACCGGGCTCCGAGTCTTCTAGCGTCGTCTCACTGGTGCGTTTTGCCAGGTTGGCCAGGTGAGAGTCGATACTCTCGTCGAAGCTTGTCTAGTCCGACACGCTGCCCTTGTAGAACTTGGTGTAGTCGATCGCGAAGCCATTCAATACCACGGATACTTCGACCTTGTGTCCATACAGGGAGCGTTTGCTGCTGTAGTACAGTTTCTTCTCTGTATACGCGCCGTGCGGTACATTCGTTTGCTGGAACGTGACGTACGTGGCGTACCGAGCAGCCGGCAAGTTCTTGAACCGATGCCCCGACTCCGTGAGTGCCTGCATTGGCCACTTCTGCTCGACAGCCGTGACGAACGTTCGCATGAGGTATGGGTGGAGAACTATCAGGAAGAACATGACTAATAACCCTCGTTGTAAGTGGGATGACTTGGTATACTATAGTAACTCTATTATCAGGAGGACTATTGATATGTTATGTATAGATAAAGTGGCTGCTGCGACAAATATATCCGACAACTATGTGATTGGTTAGACGTAGAAGCCTCTTGGCTTTCATTGGCAGATGTCTCTTCCATTTCAATACAACGACCAAGTAAAGTATCTTGGTTTTTTCGAATGTATCGACGTACAGAGCCCTGCTTGCTGGCGGGGGGGGCAGTACACTGTACACGTACTACATACTCCGGAGTATTATAGTACGTTCAATATTACGTGGAGGAATTACATGTACCTTGGTTACTTTGCTTTGCTTGCGCAACCGGTGCACAGTTTGCCACCATATAATAAGTTTGTGAGTCGTAATTACTTCCCATTGTCTCAATCAACTCTGTGATGAGTTGCATTCGTGTTTTGTGGACCCGTGAAGTCGCTCGCAACAATATAAGTGACCTTAGTAGTTGTAGTATTGAAAGTATGATTATTTAGTGTTGCGGTGGAAGGGGGCACACATTGAAGGGAGGTCGCACAGTGTTATAAGCATCCAAACTGTGCAGATGCTAGCAGTGGGGATGCTTGTAACCACTGTGTGCTAACAAGTGCGGTAGTTCACGTTGCGAAAGTAAGTGGATATGCAGAGCTGGAGCACGTGGTTAGTGTCGTTTGTTGAGGAGGGGCAATTAGAATCACTACTGGAGGTAAGGTGGTGTTGGCGTAGCTACAGTAATGTTCAATCGAGGGTCTACCTAAAGCGCAACCATTACACTTAGCCGCATTCGTATGTTTTAAAAGTCGCAACCGTTATTGTCTGGAATGGGCTACACAAGGGATCTCACCAATGGTCCCCATGTATCATGGTGAGGCGCCGGCTGACTGCCTCCGATAACAACACTACTCCTACTGGTTCGACTGGCCGTTTTACTTACTTTAGTTGATTTGCCATGTGAGAAAAATGTGACGAGGCAAAAGCCTGTATAACAGGTTAAAGAGAGAATATCAGCTTATCAAAGACCCTGCAAGGCGAGCGTACCTCTGTAGAATAATTTTGCATCGACTTTAGAAGGTACTCAAAGCGAGTGTTTTTCAAACCAGCGCCGGGCGGGAAAACTACGGCGTGGCGTCTATGGGACACACGAAGGCAACTGGACGCCCAGTTGTAAAGCACAATGGTCGTAAAGGACCCCCACAGCACTAACGACTGTACTTCAGCTACGCCAAGAAACTGCATGTTATCAACTGGCGCAAGGAGCACTCCATGGAGGCCACCCTTGACTACTTCTTTAAAGGAGTACAAGGAAGCGAGCGTATGACTGCATGGAAAAAGATCCTGCGTTGGGAAAAGTGCCGCCCCACATCACTGCCATGGCGTCCCAGCCCTCGTCGGCCAATATGCTCAACACCAGAGCCATGGGAACCGCGACAACGCTTCAAATGCACGACGAAGAGCAGATTGCACTACTACTGTGGGTGCAAAACCTACGATCGGAAGGCATTCCTGTCAACAGGCTACTTCTTAAGTGCAAGGCCATGGAAGTTGCACAAGATCTCGGATTCCTTCCAAGTCAATTCAAAGCAAGTTCAACTTGGATTTCCGGGTTTATCAAGCGATGGAAACTATCCTGGCGAGCGAAAACACGATCTGGTCAATCGAACCACTCTCAGGGCGAAGCCACATTGGCTGAATTCAGCCAGCGAATTCGTCAAGTCGTGCTTGAGAATGAAATCGACGACATCTACAATGCTGATCAAACCGGTATCAACTTTGAGTACATTCCAAAACACACCTTTGACGCTCGTGGATTCGCTGCTCCGACCACGAAAAAGACCGCATGACGGCCATGCTCTTGGCCCATACGAAAGTAACCAAATATCCAATGTTCCTGGTCCTCAAGTCGTCGAAGTCTACCGTCAAGAAGAACGTTCAAGAGAATCTTACTCGTCGAAACGGATTTGGCCCGCGTGTTTGGCCTGAATCGTTGAGCTCCACGAGCGACATGCCTCGCGCTTGTATGAAAATCCTACAGCATGGTGGAACAGTGACATATCCATTGCATTTTTGGAGTACCATTTTTGGTCATCGCAAAGGCAAAAACCTCAAGAAAGTACTGCTCCTATGGGACGATTTCAGTGCCCATTTTGGAGACGAAGTTGTTGCCTATGCTCCATCCTGTGACGTCATGCTGGAAAAGATTCCACCCACCTTCACACGGATTTGTCAGCCCGCCGACGTCTCCTGGATGAAGCCAATGAAAGCCGCAATGCGCAAGCGATGGGTTTCCTACTTGCGAGCGGAGATTAAGCATCACAGCTCCAGTCAAGATGGATTTCGCTTACTGCCACCGACACGCAGCGACTTGGTCGAGTGGGTCAACGATGCCTGGGAGAATCTTCCTAGGGCAACCGTGGTCAATGGCTTTGTCAAATGCAACATCATTGACACACCTGCCAACACGCCTGCATCCAATGCGGACGATGGCACGTCATCGTCCACCCCAACGTCCACCCAAACACAAGCCAACGACTGACTCGGAGGAATGCCTTGCAACGCTCCTATTGCAGATGAAGAATCGTGAGTTTGAAGTTCATGAATTGGAGAGCATCGACGACATTGTACAAACCACGGAAACAGACGCCGACGACATTCCGCTTGATGGCCTGGTGTAACGCCGTTGACTGTGCTAACGAAGTGTAGTTAGTGTTCATGTGATTTTGAATAGAGCATAGTACCACATTTGAGAATGACGGGCACGCCCAGCAGAAGACGAACACCGGTATCCGGCGCAGCAAATCGTGGGCGGGGCCGAGGCGGTCCCACGACTACTACGCGCGGGCCTTTTGACATTGCTTCCACTGGGGCCCGACACCCTCGAGGTATTGTGCACGGCAGTTGAAAATCCGGATATTGACATCCGGATGTCATCTCCGCTGAAAATTGAATAATGGGAAGTGTTGGCATCCTTGTTTGACTCCAAAACAGTAATATTAATGTATAGAATTGTAGAATTTTGGCAGAACTACTAGAAAGTATACCTTCTCAAATATTATGATGCTTCTGTCAGATAGAAACGGGACTTACCTGACTTGCCACTCACATAACAAATACATCCTTTTTACTTTTATTTTTTGAATTTGACATATGATTAATTTAAACAGGTGGGGCAGAGAAAGTCATCACATTCTGCCTCGTCACATTTTTCTCACAAGACAAATCAACTAAAGTATGCTAGCTAATCAACACCGGGGTTTCGGGGTTTCGGGGGCAACCGACTGGCAGTACGCGACAGCGTCCGTCTGTCTCATGAGCACGCGGGTCGGGGTGTACACGCCAAAGGGCATCATGAACGAGAAGTACATCTGGCTGTCCGCATGTAGCGGCAACTGCCAGTACCTCTTTGTCCAGTCCAACGTGAAGTACACGTTCGTTCCGACCAGACAGACCATCGCGCTGTCCAGTTTTGGCATCGGCCCAGGTATCGGCTCCGTGCTGGCGTTGATCAGCCTGCTGTCCATCGTCATACGCAAGTCGCCGACTTCCTTTTTCGGCACGACTATTGGGGCTGCGGCCCACGTAGCTCGGTAGTTTTGGTATACCATACAATTCGCTTCCAGGGCAGCCACATGACTGCGCATGTACTCCACATGCAGCGGCGGGTACCCTGCATCCTACACTTCACCAGTGTTGAGCCGGGTTTGATCCGAACCGTCGTGTCTAGCGTCACGCAGTCGAACTTGACGCAGCGCGTCATCACAACTGGCTTGGCGTCACTGCCATAAGGGTACGCCAAATGCGGCACGCTATGGGGAAACAGTCCCAACTTTGACGCCGGCCGCGTTCAACGCATCCATGACGCCGCGCGTGAAACGGTCACGTCCGAACCAGAGTCCAAGAGCACATCGTCCACGCAGACGATATTCTCCAACAGCACGCCGCGCTCTGTCTTCTGGCAATGGGGCTGGTTGACCAGCACCTTGATGCCGTCCTTCCAGCGCTTGACTTGCGCTGCCAACAACGTTTTGGCTTCGCCAGGCGCGGTCTTCGGGCACCACGCCACACGGTGACTCATGGCACCGCATTTCAACCAGCCCTTCTTGGCAGGTTACTCGATGGTCCTGGGCACGATCGCTTCGGCCTTTCCACCGACTCTGCCATTGTTCTTGGCGGCGTCTTCCCGGGCGCTGTCACGTCTGGACACTTGAGGCCTGCCGCCTCGTGGAGCTTTGCTGTCGGGGAAGGTTTGGACTCGTCGTCGAGTCCTACGTACAGCTGGGGTCCAGCTGCGAACTTTCATAGCCAGTTGACGTAACGGAAGACGTCGCTCTTCAACGCCTTGTTCCGCTACAACTGCAGCTGCTTCTAAACCGCTATCTTCGGCGATTCAGGCTTGATCGAATTCGCCAAAACTTGGACGACCATCTTGCCTCCTTGATGGAGTACCAACTCCTGATGGTCTTGTTCCAACGAGCGCATCAGCTCGTCCAACATACGACCGACGCGAGACTCCGCGTCGGTCATATTGCCTCCCTGATGGAATACCCACTCCTGTGGCTGCGGGAGCGCCGGCGCGTTCCAAACTTGCGGCTCCATACGGACGTAGCCGCCTTCGCTAACCATGTCCGTATCGTCACGGACATCCGAAGCTACTCGATGAACTTGCTGGTACGAGCATACGGCCAATGGGAAACCCAAAACCCCGTTCAAACGCCGTCGACGAATCTACCATCCGGTATCTCTGGAAGAAGCAAGGAATTGTGTTTGAAACGAATGGAGGGTGTCCCTGCAAAGCATTATGAACCCGTTTATGAAGGAGGATATCGAAGACTTTTGCAGTGCGCAAAGCAATTGGGTCGCGCGTTAGTTTGACCCATTGCAAACACACACACTTTGTGTGTGTGCCGTGCTTGCGCAGAACCTTGGACTCGAGACTACTGTAGTGATATGAATCGTTTTTTGCATTGTGATGACCGAAATTCCGATGAATAAGTTACATCGCATCGATAATGGCCGAAATGATAATATATATATTTTCATTTTTGGTTTTTGATTTGTGTTATCAGCACGACGTTTAGGACCAAAACTTCAGTAATGCGGTGTTAGTGGCTGCGGAGTTAAGCGAGAACTAATAGTCAGTACAACTGAACTGTACTTCTAGTTTCAAGCCTCCAATTTTAATTTCTACTGCACAGATTATTCAATAGGTGTACAAAAAGACACAGAATTGATAACATTCTATGGAGCACAGTAAATCATCAACTTTGACAGATTCTGACACTTTGCACCTCACCAACTGCTTAACGTTACTGTTACAGTTACAAAGTGGTATCAAACTCCTTGTACTCGGAGTAAGACTTATATATGTACTGTATGCATGCCGTGTAGGGCTTGGTCATTGATGTTTGGTCAATGGCATCGCTTGTCTGAATCCATTACCAGGTTGAAGGTCGTCCAAAGCGTGCTTGTCGCATCTCGATTCTGAGTGGATGCATTATCATCGACCTGCTAGCGAGTACTTGGGGCACCGCCGGTCGACAGTTTTTTTACAATGGATTACTCGGTTTCTCTATAATCGCCATCCAATACTAGGTAGCGTACGCTCCAGAGTACGGCGCGCGTCAACTGACTGTGAAGCCTGTAATTTCTGCAAAACGGTTCAATTGAGAATATGATAAGGTGCTAGAGGTTATATAAATTGTTTCACAGGTTTGGCTATAATATTTCAAAGGGTTTTGGTAAATAACCTGCGAAAAATACATGATGTTACCAGATACATAGGCATTATCCGGCACAACATAGCTTATGACCACTTATCCGGTCATATTTGGTTCACTGTCAAGTTGGGACCATACTTTTGTACGATGACTAACTTTGGCCCCAACTCTTTTATTTTACTGGACAGATTATTCAAGAGGTGTTCAAAAAGACATAGAATTGACAACATTCTATGGAGCACAGTAAATCATCAACTTTGACAGATTCTGACACTTTGCACCTCACCAACTGCTTACTGTTAACGTTAACAGTAAGTTACAAAGTGGTATCAAACGCCTTGTACTCGGAGTAAGCGGCGAAAATGGAAAATTATGACCTAGCTGCTGATTGGATAGCAAAAGGTGATCTGCATGACGATCGCCTATTGGTTCGAAACGTATAATTCAAATTTTGAAATGCAAGCACCCATTCCCCGCCAGCGCGTCCAAAAAGGCTACAGCCTCGGGGACAAAATCAAACTTCTGCGTGCGTACGAGAACTCCCCTCTTTCCGCCAGTGCCATTTGCGCCATTGAGGGGATTGCTCGGTCCACGTGGCTGGCTTGGCTCACCAAGAAGGCCAAGTACTATCAGCGACTGGTAATTAGTCGTTCGAAAAGGTTTACCTCGTACTACGTGTTAGTATTTTTCAAGTTTCATAATATATGCTCAGAGTACATAATGAATATTTTTAGCATAGGATTCGCCAATCACACTGTGTGAATGCAGTAGTAAACATCCACCTGTACAATTGGAAGAAAATATTTCTAAAACTGATAATTTATGGCTCTATACAAACTCTAAAATAGTTTGGAGTGCAACACTTGCGAGATAATACTGAGTTCACTGTATTACAAAAACATGCACATAAAATTTTGTATCCGCAAAAGTAATGACATGCAGAACTGCTCAGTTCGCAAAGTGAAACGGCGCGAATTTCTGAAACAAGACACCACACTTGCAGTGAGCGGTAGAAAGCGTGTCAGTACAGCAGCCAATGTCCCTCTCCAACAAGTTGGATGACTGCGAAGAACTTCAGATTTGCTTTCGCCAACCATGAATCCCTCGATTTTGGTTTTGGCCTTCCATAACTTCGTGTTAAGATTAGTTTTCGCCAGTTCCCACATCTCCCAGAAACCAATCACGAAAATTCGAAAAGTTGAAGTACTCGTTGGCAGGTTGATTGATGATTATGCATCCACTCAGAATCGAGATGCGACAAGTCACGCTTTGGACGACCTTCAACCTGGTAATGGAATCAGACGAGCTATGCCATTGGCCAAACATGAATACCAAGCCCTACACGGCATGCATACAGTACATACACTAAGTCGACAAACTTGGAAATGATCAGATGAATAAAAATTTAGGGGTGCCACGCTTGCGAGTATTACCGAGTTCACTGTACAGTACTCAGACGACATGTTGACATGCGCATATATCGAAATGGACGAACTTTGGTGACTCTTTTCTCGAGCTGTGTAATATTTACAGCAATAGCTCTCTCTGGCATGACGCATCTTACCCGCATGTACAGTACACGCTTGCCTTTAAAATACGACGGACTTGGTAAGTTCGATTCTCTACAGCTGTTGATTCATACGATATGCAATAAGGTGTATGTATCTGTACGTAGTATTGGTTGTTGTAATGAGGAATGGAGAGTTCTGTGACCGATTGTGCAGTATGCATTGAGAAATCGCTGACCTGCATCGCGCCTTTCCCGCATGCATGTACGCATGCACAATCTGCAGGAAGTATAAATCGTTTGCAAAACGTTAATAATTATGGGGATGAATAAAAATACGGTACGCATATATCAACACAAAGATGTTCAAGAGAATATTAGTACGAAGTAATATGTAGCTGTCACGCGCATGTACAGTGCATGCCGTGGTTGACTCGCACGTGACAACTTGAATAAAGTTGCATGTATCCCCACGACAATGGTACACCATGATTTGAAGGAATCAAGGACCCTTATAATTCGTCATAGTGATATGTTTGTGTCCTGTTCCCGCATCTCCCTATTAGTAGATTCGTTTTGCGCTAAACAATTCATTTATAGAGCGATTTCACTCAAAATTTGTTACTTTATCCATTTTGAACCTCATATTTTTTACAGGCTTAGATGGCGTGCACTGTAATTTGATATTTTCATTGCGACACTTAGGTACTTCAAGTCAAAGATCTAACAGGAGTGTGCATGATTCGTCACCGGTCATGGTCCCACTCCAAAGCTCTGTTTCGAATGTGCGTCTTGCCAGCACAAAACTACTACTAGTAGGCATCCCCGCCATGTTCATTTCTGAATTCGCTCTCTACGCACCACCACCACCATCCAATGAAGACCATCGCTGCTTTTGCCGCCCTCGCTTTTGCCCCCATCGTCGTAGAAGGCCACGGTCGCTTGATAACCCCTCCCCACCGAGGCTACATTGGGAAGCTCCCCAAATACGCCCCATTTGTCCCCCCCAACTGGAGTGACAACAGCCTCAACGGCGGCGGGATAGAGGCCACCAAGAACGGCCAATTTGGCATTTGCGGGGACCCGTTCACCCAAGCTTCCCCCCGCGAGCATGAAAACGGTGGCATCTACGGCCTGTTTCCCCAGTACGGCGCGAACGTGACGGGGGCTTGCTTCGCGCCCGGGGCCGCTATAGAGCTCAAGGTGGAGCTCACTGCTAACCACAAGGGCTACTTTTCGTTCGGCCTTTGCAAGCTCAACGCCCCTGACGATGTCGAAACCGAAGAGTGCTTTCAACCGTTGGCGCAGCCGAGCGGAGCCGCCAAGTACGATGTCACCCCCGGCAACTTCTTCGACTTCACGTATGTCCTGCCTGCTGGCGTGACCTGCGAAGGCGAGTCGCATTGCGTGCTGCGCTGGCACTACACCGGCGGGAACAACTGGGAGGAAAATACGTGGGGTCAAGAAAATTTCTGGAACTGCGCCGACATATATATCAGCAGCAAGTGCCCAGCCGCGTAAACATCATTATATTGGTGTAACGTGTGCCAACAATAACTGAGATAGTGTGAAGTTTACTTCGTGCATGTGCGACTTAGAGTACTGTATTGTACATGATATCGAAAAGAATTTCGTGAACGTTAGGGTCTGGTTGAAGTAAAGAATCACCCACTTTTCCAGCACTCACTTTTCCTCGTTAACTATGTGGTCACTCTCTTATATAAAAAGTTCATGAAATACCATCTTTTTGAAAAAGTGGGTGGCTTGACTTGAATTTGAGTAGGTATAAATTATCAACAAGTTATTAATTAATAATGAGGTGAAAAGTTGGCCCATATTATGGATACCGGATAGCAACTTGAGTGTCAGTATCCCCGAACCAGTCTTCCGCCGAAGCACTATGGAGGCCGGGAATATCTAAGCGTTCGCAACTACACTTGAAGCAGTAGTTTGTGTGGTTGCCGTTGTTGGACACGATGGCAGGTCAAACAAGGAGCCACCGATGAATGTTTACTCCATTCGAAACAACGACTGGCAAGGTATTTCTGCACTACAGTACTATGCCAACATCATTTCACAACTAAAACTGTTCTACGTCACATGCGTCGAAGCCTGCCCTGGAGATGGGCGGTACAAGCGTAACTTGCGCGTCAGCAGGTGCACATTTGACCAAATTCGTTTTAGATGCCCTTGGCTTCTTGGCTGTCTTTGGCAGCCACCTCTAGTTGCCCAAGCTCCGTCATTATGAGTGATTGTCCATGAAACACCACTACCGGTACTATCCGGGCACATTTTACACTGACCACTTATTATTTTACCGGATTACTTCAACCAGCACCAACTTTTTCTCACCCAAAAAGTCAGACTGGTTTGAGCACGATTTTGGGCCTGTAAATTGTGAGACAACTGGACAGCCAAACATCTGGCAGATGACAACATTCAATTCATGGACCAATCAAAACTCAACCACTCAGCATTACTATTAATACCTTTGACATTATAGTATTAGTACTAATCATACTACTGTACTCCTAATGCGTAAACTCACCGATACTGAAGAACAAATATCACACCATATACGAAAATAGAATATCTGACGAAAGTTGCTCGATTGCACCAGGCTAGTTACCGTATAGTGTAATACGAGTCGGACACCCGTAAAGTTAGATAAATAATACCATTCACAACGCTTTTGTTTTCAGAGTTGTCACTTCGCGCGGGCAACAAACTCCAATCCCTTATATATATCCCAAATGTAATACAATATCAAGGTTTTTACGCGCGAAAATGCAATGGTGCCAACGAAAGACGCCATGGCCATTCACAAACGTGCCATGGAGCTCACTGACGATCAGCCACAACGCTTGCCCAAGATCGGAAGGCCGGTGTCGAAGTACGGCCCCAAGAAGAAGCCAAGGCAGTACAAGAACACAGTAGTTTCGTACAGCGAGCGGCTAAGCGTTATTCAATACTACGACACGTGTGGCATGCAATCAACTCTCTCTGCGTTCTACGGCAACCTCACCATGACGGCACGCAAGACAATGCGCAAGAAGATGTACTCGTGGTTGGCCAATCGTGACCACATTGAAACCATGGCGTCGAGTGCACGTACCGCGTCGAAGAGGTGCTGGCGACCGCTCGGCGCGGGGACGACGCTGACGGCAGCGGCAGAGGAACAGCTCGCCCAGTGGGTGCTCGACATGCGCAAGGACGGCGTGCCAGTGACGCAGGCGATGCTGCGTGTCATGGCACTGGAGGCATCGATCGACCTAGGCATAGAGGACCACGAGTTCCTTGCTGAATGGCACTAGATCCACGGGTTCAAAGGACGCCACGGCTTGTCTCTCCGATCACGTACCCGTATTGGCCAGGATTCACCAGACGATGGCGTGGCGGCACTGGAGACGTTTTCGACGCGGGACAGGGCCCTGGTGCTGGAGCACGACATTGACTTAGTCTACAATGCCGACCAAACGAGTGTGAACTACGAGTACCTACCAACAAAGACGCTCAACACGGCTGGCGACAAGACCGTTTGGGTCAAGTGCGGTGGGAAGACCAAGGAGCGCGTGACGGCAATGCTGCTGGCGGATCTGAACGGCACCAAGCTCCCCCTG